CGACAGTTACATTATGAGGTAAACGTCAATAAAAACTGTACCAACAGGCCTCGGTGACGATGAGGAACTAGAATCGATCCGCTCGATCACAAATGCTGCGGTGGAACTCATCCTAGTTTCCCTTAACCATAAGACTGTGACCTGACGTTTCGTCCTATATTTGGGACTCATCAGCAGTTCGCATCCACTACCGAGAATTGAAACTCTGACAGTTACATTATGAGGTAACGTCATACAAACTGTACCAACGGGCCTCGGTGACGAAGAGACAACGAATCAGACTCGATATAGCGCCGCTCGATCACAAATGCTGCGGTGGAACTCATCCTAGTTTCCCATAACCATAAGACTGTGACCTGACGTTTTAATCCTATATTTGGGACTCATCAGCAGTGCGCATCCATCCAAACCCTGACAGTTACATTGTAGGGTAAACGTCATAAACTGAAACAGGCCTCGGGATTAGGTAACGAACTAGAATCGATATAGCGCCGCTCGATCACAAATGCTGCGGTGGAACTCATCCTAGTTTCCCTTAACCATAAGACTGTGACCTGACGTTTACGTCCTATATTTTGGACTCATCAGCAGTGCGCATCCACTACCGAGAATTGAAACCTGACAGTTACATTATGAGGTAAACGTCATACAAACTGTACCTTAGTGAATCTGGGATGTAGTGTTTCTGGGTGGTTGTGTATCTATCTATCTATCTATCTATCTATCTATCTCTCTCTCTCTCTCTCTCTCTATTAGATACAATGAATGTCCGAGAAATTTTCTTAGAAAATATTCGTTCTTTGACAGGATTCAGGCCGGTAAATGTTATTTAATACTGTTTATCATAAACAGAGCATTTGCTTAAATACTTGCATCTATAAAATAACAACGTTAAACATAAAATGTCTTTAATATATATATATATATATATATATATATATATATATATATATATATATAAGGCAATGGGATGACGAAGAAAGTGATTTATATTCAGGCGTTTCGTCCTGAAGGAGGACTACAACGAAGTAAAGTAATTTTCTTTTGGTTGATAGCGTTAAATAAGTGCAGCAGCTGGAGAGATAACAGAATGCCGCATTTATATCTGACCATTCCCTAAGAGATACAACTTTCAATGGCTTTGTTATTAGTTTTCCTCATGTATTTTCTTGATGACATTTGACAGGTAGTCTACGTGGATAAAATATCGGACGTTTAGCGCTGGTGTTAATGAAATAGTTCTTGATCTAAGATCGAATAGCAAATATTTAGATTAAAAATAAATACACATTTTTCTTCACCGGTTGACCAATTCTGAGATTCATGATCCATCAGCACATATCGATTGAAACCTGCATAAAACTCAGACTTGCGCTGGCGTTGAGGAATATCATATATTTATTATTGATACATACATATATATATATATATATATATATATATATATATATAATATGCGTATATATAGTAATTTATAAAGGTGTATATATATAACATATATATATTCATTTATATAGGTGTATATTATATATATGATATACATATATATTATTTTATATATATATATTATTTTATATATATTATTTTATGTATATATTATAAAACTATATATTATATAGATAATGAATATATACGTATATTTCTATATATTGTATATATATAAAATTCATATATATATACATATATTTCTATATACTATGTGTATATATATACATATTATTTCTTATATATTATTTATATATATATGTGTACATATATATTATTTTATATACATTATGTATATATAATATATATATATATATATATATATATATATATATATATATACATATATATTATATATATTATTTCATATATTATGTATATATATTATTTTATTTATATTATGTGTATATATGTATATAATGTACATATGTATATATTTATTATTTTATATATATTATGTACATATGTCTATATATATTGTCTATATACATACATACATACATACATATATATATATATATATATATATATATATATATATATATATATATATGGGGGGTGTTGTGTGTGTGTGTATATGTGAAAATATATAGAAAATAGGAAAGAACTCGTTAGGTAAATAACATTACACATTATTAAGTTTCTAAATAATAAAAATCTATTAAACAATAGACATGAGTTAACAGTTTTTTGCCGACATCATCAAATTTTTGCATTGGATAATTAGCATAAAAACAAACAAAAATAAAATAATTTTTATAATCCATAGCCCTAATAAATAGTTTAAATACCCTACAAAAAAGATAATCCTTTATGAAGTCGTCAAAAAACAAATGTTACGGCAGTTTTTTTTATATACACAAAACACTTTCAGAAATAAATAAAATAAATAAATAAATAAATCTCGATAGACACGTAAACCAGACTAGGCGAAAACATCTTCTGTTTTAAATTTAGACACCCCAACCTTACCCTGACTTGACATCTATGAATGTAACTCTAGACTGATACAAATTATTAACACCCAACACCCTTTTCTATTTAAACAATCGCTCTAGACGTTATCATGGAAATTTTGATTTCAA